TCACGATTACCAAGTCTTCTGATAGGTGCGGACTCCAATCCTTCACTCAGTATGACTTTGGGAATCTTCTCTCAACACCTGAATTTGTTGAGCAATGGAGAGTGTTAGACAACTAGGTTTCGACAGGAGAACCTACTGCTCTCTTTAGCTTAAGAGTAGATGTTGTCTAATGCTCAAGCCTTTTCTTATTTTAACATTTAATCTACGGACTAAACTACCAATATTATGTATACAGGCCTATTATTCAATGGAACAATATAATCAATATATGGATCATGGACTGGTTATGATAATTTTCAGTGTTTATCATGTAATAGCATTTTAGCTATAAATGCAAATAATAATTTCATTAACAGAATATAAAGTTACTTAAAACACATAATAGGTGAAAGGCAATTTAAGATTAACTTGATAAAAGGGTTGCATATATTATAGACAGTTATATTAAATAATCTAAACATTCAGTTGACTTAACTAAACTGGTTAAGCTAAAAAATAGTAAAGCTATGCTGGTCTTATCTTAATTTGTTGAGCAATGGAGAGTGTTAGACAACTAGGTTTCGACAGGAGAACCTACTGCTCTCTTTAGCTTAAGAGTAGATGTTGTGAATTTGTTTGTGAAACAATCTACTTTTATCTGATTCGTTCCCCTCCCTAATTATCGACAACATTCCTGAGACCCTTTGTTAGGTTACATTACAGGGTATAATTACCCTTCTAGTAGACAAGTGGCTGGCTATTTAGCTAGTAGTTTATACCAATACATAGCCAGTGGTTATCAGGCAAGGTGAATAATCCCATTAATTATTCTTATGGTCAGCAAGCTTCTTTGTCTTGTCTATCTTGGAATTTAGGGAGGTAGGGGAGTTATTTTAAATACTTTCCCTTCTGTACCATTTTTGTACACTGGTTACACTCACCCCTCCAAAATATACGTCCGTCCTCGGACGATGCTCAACAGAATTCAGTTGTAAGAACACCAACATTTACAAAGTCAGACATGCATGCAATATATATATTGCTCAATATACTAAAATATAAATTGTGCCACTATTGTTTATTTATGCAATTTATGAAGTACAACCTTTGAGAAGTGTCAATTGTGATTGCATCATATTGGCAAACATTTGGTTTTGCATCTCAATTACTTTAACCATCATGTTAGATGTTGATGTGACTTGTTGACCGGGGGCATAATAGCCTAACCGTTCAGGCTGTACTCTAACCCGCTGTGTGCGTGGTACATCTACATTAGCATCTGAATTAATTATAGGTACAACTGGATCAACCTCATTTACAACATTAGTTACAATCGTTACCAACATCATCCTGTACAGCTACATTATCAGCAATAGGAACATTAACATGCGGAACAGTATTTTCATCACCAGTGGCTATGGTCTCAGCTACATCATACTGAGGTACATTTACAATAGGTTCATTTTCGATATTATTTATAAGTTGATGGTCTTTATTTACAGTCGGGCCATCCATTACATCAGGGACATGTATTTCGGTGGGTTGTTGAAAAGGGTGTTGTTGAGACTGTATTGGGATGTAGTAATCCGAATCGCTATCATTACTCCCAGGATCAGGTAATCCTGTCTCCGGGACAGTAGACTTAACTGCCCGCTGACGGGTGACAGGTGTCTGTCTTGGTTTACTAGTCGGGATTGGAGTGTTCTTTTTCACTGTGGCAAACCTACATGGTAGTAACATATTTCTATGCAGGGTCCTACTGGGGCCATCACCACTGTCTGGTCCTATCCTATAGACTGGGTTATCCCCTATTTGTTCTATTACCACATACACAGTATCTTCCCATCTGTCAGCTAATTTGTGTTTACCACGTACACAGGTGTTCTTAACTAATACTCTATCTCCTACGTGTATAACACATTCACGTACTTTGCTGTCATATCTGACCTTATTGGACTGTGATTTCTTATTGGCCGTTTCTTGGGCTAACTTGTGGGCTCTATCTAATCTACTTCGTAATTTCTGGGCATATCCTCTTGCGGATGAGGAACCTGCAGGGTTTGGGTCTATTCCTAGTTGAATATCTATGGGGAGACATGCTTCCCTTCCAAACATTAAATAGTAGGGGGACATGCCTGTAGCGTCATTTTTAGTGCAGTTGTATGCATGGACTAATGGTGCTACATATTCCCGCCAGTGTTCTTTCTTTTCATTCTCAAGGGTACCTAACATCTTTAGTAGGGTCTGGTTAAATCGTTCCACTTGACCATTACCTTGGGGGTGGTATGGGGTGGTACGCGATTTCCTAACTCCTAAATAATGGCACAAGTCTTTAATTACCCTAGATTCAAAATCTCTGCCCTGATCTGAATGCAACTGTTTTGGAAAACCATAGTGTTGAAAGACATTCACCCAGAGAGCCCTAGCTACTGTGGTGGCTTTTTTGTCTCTAGTAGGAATGGCTATGGCATACCTTGTGAAGTGATCGGTCACTACTAATACATTTCTAGTGTCCTTTGAATCGGGTTCAACAGACAAAAAGTCGATGCACATTAATTCCATAGGCATGGTAGTGCGTATATTGACTAAAGGGGCCCAGCCTTTTCTTGGTACTCCTCATAATCGTCATCATGACAGGGTGGATCGTGTGGGCGACGGCTAAGTCCATCTGCATCCTGGTTATTCCTACCTGCCTTATATTTGATATCAAAGTTATAATTAACTAAGGCAGCAAGCCATCGTTGACCAGTAGCGTCAAGCTTAGCGGTCGACAAGGCATACGTTAAGGGATTGTTATCGGTATAAATTACAAATCGTTGACCATATAGGTAGTCGGTAAATTTCTCAGTCACAGCCCATTTTAGAGCCAGAAACTCTAATTTGTGGGCAGGGTAATTAGCCTCACTCTTAGACAAACCACGACTGGCATAAGCAATGAACCTTTTTACTCCATCTATCTGTTGGTATAGAGCTGCTCCAAACCCACTGGTGCTAGCGTCAGTGTGGAGGATAAAGGGTGAATTATAGTCTGCAAATCCTAAGATAGGCGATGACGAAAGCTTTTCAATTAACACATCAAATGCTTCTTGGCATGATTCGGACCAGTTACTACCAAAGGGTGTATTAGGACTAGGACGCTTTTCCGTTGACTTTGTGAGTGAGTGGGACCCTTTAAAGGCGCCACGTCGTTTACGGATTTGGTCGTATTTGGTCATGAGTTGGTTTAGAGGCTTGGTAATTTGGCTATAATGCTGAATGAATCTACGATAATACCCTGCAAAGCCCAGGAAAGATTTAAGTTCCTTCACATTGGATGGACGGGGCCAAGATTTAACAGCTTTAATCTTATCAGGGTCTGTACTAACCCCTTCTTTGGAAATTAAATGACCAAGGCATTTTACTGAGGCTTGTGCAAAGTGGCATTTATCAGGATTTAATTTAAGTCCGTACTCCTCTAATCTTGATAATACCCTATCTAATTTAACTAGGTGTTCATCTAAAGGGGATGAAAAAACCAAGAGGTCACCTAAATAGACTAGCACATCAGAAAATGTCATATCTCCCATGCACTTTTCCATTAAACGCTGAAAAGTGGCAGGGGCATTAGTAATTCCTTACGGCATACGGTTAAATTCATAAAAACCTAACAGGCACCAAAATGCAGTCTTGGCTTTGTCTTCTTCGGCCATTTCAATTTGGTAATAACCGGACTTCAGGTCTAGACAAGAAAACCATGCTGAGCCTGTTAGAGCTTAAAGTGTCTTCTATCTTAGGGACATTGTATTGGTCTCGTATAGTTCTTGAATTTAATAACCTATAATCTATACATAAACGTATTTCGTTGGTTTTTTTCTTTCTAACTAAAACTATATGTGAGCTGTATTGGCTCTCCGATTCTCTAATTATATTTTTTCTTAATAAATCCTGGATATGGTCCCTAGCATCTTTAAAATCAGAGGGTGGTATTCGCCTACAGGGTTGACGGAAGGGGGTGTCAACACTCAACCGTATCCTATGTTTAACGGCTGAAGTTCTCCCTATATCTGAATCATTTGTAGAGAAAACATTAGGGTGCTTGTTAAGCACATTTGTAAATTTCCTCTTGTCAGCCTCTGAGATGGGCGAATTTTCAAAATTAAAGGGGTTGGAGGTCATAGTTGAATTACAGTGTGCTTTAGAATTTAGGGGTGCTATCATTTCAGGTACAAAAGCAGTTGCAACCTCAAACTTCTGATTTAATTTTATAGCCTTGCCCAAATTTGATACTGGAATTTTAAGTTTTACCTTGCCCATATGTTCTAACCTGACCACAAGGGGACTAACTGAGAGGCCTCCAGGAAGAGTTGTACCAGAGGGGACATCAATTAGCACATCTACATTTGGTCGGACTGTATTTTTGACAGTGCAATCTACATCTATTGTTGCACCACGGGATATGGTCACTGGGGTACTAACCCTAACAGAACCAACTTTGTCACGATTGGCCTTATTATTATATACTGCAGCCCAAGCAGAGTGTACATTTCTTATGTGGTGACCCTTCCCTTTTTGCCAACCAGTCGTTAAGTCTCGAACAATACTAGTATTTGTGCCCAATAGCATGGATAACCATTTGCCAAGTTTGGGACACACTAAAGCTAATGTTGAGGACTTCTTATGAACGCCAGTCTCAGCTTTAGGAAATGTAATCACTACTTCGATATAACCTAGGTATGGTACATCCTGGCCACCAGCACCAGTGACTATGAGGTCACTTAACGGGTGTAAAGTTTTATTAATAAGATAGGACCTATAAAACGATTCCTCTATACATGTAACTTGGGAGCCTGTATCTAACATGGCATTACATGTATGTCCATTAACTATTACGGTAATAAAACTTGGGTCACCTACTAAATTATTTGGGGGTACCGGTATTGAACATTTGTGTGAATCTATTGTCATGCTAGCGGGCTTAGAATATTTATTATGGGGGGACTTGATTAGAAGTGGTGGTGTAGTCCGGTGTCACTTCTTCCCGGTTACCCTCTGGCGTTTCCCGAATTAGTAAACCTATCAGCTAATTTACGTTGCACAAGAGCAGCATTTGTCGGCTTTGTACACAACCTCATATGGTGTCCACTCTCGCCACAATTGTAGCATATCTTATTTGGAGCATTATTCCTCCTAACAGATGGAGTATGTGGGTTGGGATTGGTGAAGGGTTTAGTTGGAGCAGGGGTTGATTTCATCCTGTCAAGTTCTTCCCTAAGGACGTCGACCTCATGGCTAAGAGCATCATAGTTAAGTGTTGTGGCCGCAGTAATGGCCTTAGAATTAGATAGAGTCGTTGTTTGGGTATTACGCTTCTCAGCCCTGGCCCTACTGTTTATTTCCTCATTCCTAACTTCTTTTATTAGGGTTAAATACGAAGGGGGATTTGGTTTTCTATGTTTTAGGTTAAGTGTAGAGCATAGTAGCTCATCATGAATTAGGCCCCTGATGAATTGGGCCAGCCTCAAATTGTCAGCCTGGGCTACGCCTACTGCCCCTACATTAATTGCCCTAGTAAGATTCTCATCTAAGCGCATTAGAAACTTTGAAGGTAATTCTCCCTTAGTTTGGTACGTTTCCCTAAATAGTGTGTAGAGGTCGTCAGCATCTACAGCCAGACCATATACCTGATTTAGGACATCATGGCATTCTGTAGCTGTACTTTCTGCAGCCACTTTATTAAGGATATTAAGGGCAGAGGTGGAAAAAGACTTTGAATTAAAATACTCTTTTAGTCAGCCTCAGACAGACTACTATCCCTAATTAGTTGCTGGACTAACTGTGACCATGTCTCGAAATCTATTTCATTGGTGGGGATTGGGACCCTTCCTGAAAATTGCCTGAGACGGCGGACACCTGCCTGCCGGGTGGGGGTGTTGTCAACAAGGTGTTTGATGACAACCTCCTTAGTATCTTTGGGGATTGAGTCCAGTTTGATGTCATTAAGGGTCTTCCCATGGCCCTGTAAGAATTTGCTTAACTGGGTTTAAAAGTCATCTATAGGTTTAGGATCCTTCTCTTCCCATTTAACTAAGGACCATGTTTCTAAATCGGACCGTTTAATGACTAAAAGAAGGTCTAGATCTGCCACAGGTTTCGAAAAAGTGATAAGTAATTGGAACGTTGTTTCAGTCTCATCTAGCTTTTCTACAACCTCAGCCTCATCAAACTCCCCTAATTCATTTGGAACTAAATTATCTGAATATGTGACCTTAGCTATACCTCTTAATGCTATAGCATACATAGGGTCAACTTTATGTTTAGTACACCACTCCAAGATGTCCATGTTTAGGTTAAAAGTTAAAATAATTCAAGATTAAAGCAAAATTAATTGTACAAGATAGAATAAAATTAATTATACAAAAGTAGGCCTAGTGATAACAATTAGGCTATATCAATAACATATATAAAATTCAAATCAGTAAGGTACAAATTTCAATGATCATGGTAAATATAAAAATTATATAAGTTACATACAATAGTGTTTAAATAATTAGTGCCTTGTCAAGCCCCACATTGGGCGCCAGTTTTTATGTAACCGCTCTACACACAATACATAAGATGATGCCTTAAAATTGAGGTGAGCGGGGTTCGGATAGGCTTGACGATGGAGGCACTGGACTTGTAATGAATCAAATTAAACAGTGTTTGGCTTTAAGTGAGCATATATTATGTCATCAAATCGAAATTATACAAAATAGCAATTAATGCTAAAACGCAGTCAGGTTACAAATAATATATAATATAATAAGTACAAGTTAAACTTATATTTTGTTGACAAACGTCTTGCTCGATGTATTTGAATCACTCAGTAGGGATGCTGTTGATTCGTAGGTCTTAACACTGTTCACGATTACCAAGTCTTCTGATAGGTGCGGACTCCAATCCTTCACTCAGTATGACTTTAGGAAATCTTCTCTCAACACCTGAATTTGTTGAGCAATGGAGAGTGTTAGACAACTAGGTTTCGACAGGAGAACCTACTGCTTTCTTTAGCTTAAGAGTAGATGTTGTCTAATGCTCAAGCCTTTTCTTATTTTAACATCTAATCTACGGACGTACTAAACTACCAATATTCTGTATACAGGCCTATTATTCAATGGAACAATATAATCAATATATGGATCATGGACTGGTTATGATAATAGTCAGTGTTTATCATGTAATAGCGTTTTAGCTATAAATGCAAATAATAATTTCATTAACAGAATATAAAGTTACTTAAAACACATAATAGATGAGAGGCAATTTAAGATTAACTTGATAAAAGGATTGCATATATTATAGACAGTTATATTAAATAATCTAAACATTCAGTTGACTTAACTAAACTGGTTAAGCTAAAAATAGTAAAGCTATGCTGGTCTTACCTGAATTTGTTGAGCAATGGAGAGTGTTAAACAACTAGGTTTCGACAGGAGAACCTACTGCTCTCTTTAGCTTAAGAGTAGATGTTGTGAATTTGTTTGTGAAACAATCTACTTTTATCTGATTCGTTCCCCTCCCTAATTATCGACAACATTCCTGAGACCCTTTGTTAGGTCACATTACAGGGTATAATTACCCTTCTAAGAGACAAGTGGCTGACTATTTAGCTAGTAGTTTATACAAATACATAGCCAGTGGTTATCAGGCAAGGTGAATAATCCCATTAATTATTCTTATGGTCAGCAAGCTTCTTTGTCTTGTCTATCTTGGAATTTAGGGAGGTAGGGGAGTTATTTTAAATACTTTCCCTTCTGTACCATTTTTGTACACTGGTTACACTGGTACTACAATTTGAAGGAGTAATTCATCAAGTATAAAATACTAATTCGTTAAGTTTTACTATACTTATTGTTATTATTATTGCTGTTATTATTGTTGTCATTGTTGTTATTGTTGTTTTTATTACCGTTAGTTTTAATATTAATTATTAGTCTTAGCATTAACATTATATACGGTATTGTTCAAATTTTTGCTGATATTATTATTACAGTACCATATAAATAAATAATTTTCGATTTATTATTATTATTATTATTATTATTATTATTATTATTATTATTATTTATTAGTCTTAGTATTATTATTTTAATAATATTAATTTAAAAAGTTATTGTTATTGGTTTTTTATTGGTATTTTACTCATATTATTATTGTTGTTGTTGTCACCTTTATTATCGATATTATTACCCTTTTATTACTACGTAGGCCTAGTATTTAAGTATCATTATTATTATTATTACTAATTAGTATTACTATTATTACAAAAATACACATTATCTTTAATTTATTATTGTTGTATTATTGCTATTATCACCTTCAATATCGTTATTATCACTAATTAGTTATTAAAATTGATATTTAAATAATATCGTTATTACTACCATACTAGTATTATTACTATTAGTATTGTTAAAATAAATATTACTATTAATGTTGTTGTTGTTATCACCTTTATTATCGTCATAATGACTAATTAGTATTATTAAAGTAAATATTATAAATTTATTGTCGTTATTGTTGTTTAATATTTATGTTGAAGTAGAATGTTGTGAGTAAACAGACGACGAACACATTAATAAAGAACTCTGTTTAATTCATGGCAATAGCATTCAAATCCCTTTTGGTAGTGTGGTGGTCCTGTTTTACTAAAATATATTGTGGCTTTATTTTAATCATTATATTAAAGAAAAAGGATGCAAAAACTACAGAGATTTACATCAAATAACTTGTGGCCGAGTTGACCTGTGGCCGAGTTGACTTGTGGCCGAGTTGGCTTGTGGCTGTAGCCGAACTTTTTGTGGCCGAGTTGATTTGTGGCCGAGTTGATTTGTGGCCGAGTTGACTTGTGGCCGAGTTGACTGTGGCCGAGTTTACTTGTGGCCTAGTTGACCTGCACCCTTGTAAACAACCTGGGGACGGCTATCGTCAGGCAGATGGTGATTAAATGGGAGGTAAAGAAATTAATTATCAATGTCATCAATTCGAATATGTACAACTGTTTTAAACAAAATTGGTTGAGTCCCTTTGAGAGATCCGACAGGTTGGTGCAGCAGAGTGTCTGTAATACAAATACCAGAAAGCTGAGGTGTAATGCAGATGACAAAGATTCCACCGTTGCAAACGATAAAGCTCTAGAGGATGAGTTTGGAGATAAGTTTTCTATCCCTCTACACATATTCGAATTGTTGGGAAAGGATAACGTACCCTATTTTCAGCACAGCCTAACCGACCAGTTATCCTTTGAAATCACGCTAGCCCCTGCATCCGAAGTTTTAACTGGGGTAGGAGATCCAACCTTTAAGATAACAAACATGAAATTGGAAGCCGAAAAGCTGACGGAACCTAAACTGGCAGATACGATTCACAGACAGATTACCGGCAGGCAATCTCTCCTATTCGATATATTTTACCCAATACAATTTCAACAAGCAATATACTTTGGGAAATATCCTTATCCATACCCACTGCGAATCACTTAAAGGTGTGCTAATGCTTTTAGGGATCCAGTCACGGATTATATGCACGACCCTGAGACATTCGTTAATTCGAAAATTACATCCTGCATAGTGAACCTTAACAGAGTACCTCGTCAGTTTTACGAAAGCACGGATGGCCTGACACCCGAGATGCAGTATTACGAAGCTAAAAAGCACTTTTTCTCTGAAGTAAATAAAAGTGTCACAATACAAATATCAATCTATTAAACTATCTTACTGAGGGGTATGGTCTATACCTGATCGATACCAGATCTTGTGAAAACAACAAGCTCTTTGGAACAGGTTAAATGTTGAATGGTCCTACAGGAAATGGTTTAAAGATAGAGTTAAAGAGAACTGTCCAAACAATGAGTGCAAAATTCGAATGTCACGTATTCTTGGTTATGGATGCCCAGCTGGTTATAGCCGGTAAAGAATTTGGAAAAATTAGTTATTAAAAAAGAATGATTGACTATCCAAAATACCCTCATTCAGCTCTAATTATTGGTTATAGCAATTGTGGTAAAACTCACTTAATTCTAGATTTATTGGAAAACCAATACAATGATTTTTTCGATAATATAATATCTGTCTGCCCAACAGTATTTAATAACGAAAGTTATATGTATCGAGATTGGGTAACTACTTCCAAAGATGTATATATTATAAACTCTAACAATGAACTTGATAAAGTGTTAGAATTTCTACATCAAAAATTTAAAGGAAAAGGTAATACATTATTTATCGTGGACGATTGTAACGCAACTAAAGACATTAGTAAAAAGAGAAATACCTGGTCAACCCTGGCTTTTAGCGGTCGTCATTAGAAACAGAGTGTATGGATTCTTAGTCAAAGCAATTGTGCTATTAGCAAGGTTGTAAAGAGGCAATTCAGGTTTGTAGTATTGTTCCATACAAATGACAGGAAAGATTGGAAAACAATACATGAGCAAAATTAGAAAGTTAAAGACTTGGATGAAAGAAATCAGATTAAAAATTTTCTTGAAAAACATGAATACAGCAAGCTGATACTAAAGTTAGATCACAGGATTATATAATACATATATATAGGTTGGTTTTATATCTATTTATAAATAGATATAAAAGCTAAAACTTTGGTTATTACAACTTTGTCGAATTTTTTACTCTACAAATTTGTAGAGTAAAAAAATTTAATGGTTGGTATTCAACCATAAAATGGTTTCAAAATAATAAATCATAGACAAGACCAATAAGCCCAAAACAAAAAATCAGTGCAATTTTAGTATATCCTCCTGTGCTTTTTCAAAAGGTCTAGGCAAACCTTTTGAGTCAACCACGTCATCTACAATAGGTCGGGCTGAAGATTAACTCCCAAACTTAAATTTTGGTTTGCAGGAGCAGGAGCAGGCTCAACCACGTCATCTACAATAGACCTGAGGTCGGGCTGAAGGCTAACATTAACTTCATCATTTACTGCTAATTGTAGGAGCGTGTGGC